AAAAGTCAAATTGAAGAATATGCATAAGGAAAAGGGAAAGCAAAGACGAAAAAATGTTTATAGGTCACATGTGAATTCAGTTCTGCTCTGCCTAAATAAAATCAGTAAAAGATGTCATTACAGGCCGACCTCCCTCGGGTCGCTTGCCAGGAAAAGTTTGCTTCCACCTTTTTGAGTAACCTGTGTGGATTGAAGAATTATGTAAAATGGTTAGATTTTAGTATGGCAAAATACCCAAAACATTTCGAATTTAAAGTAGATACATACTTACATATATATAGAGCAATGTCAGCATATTTTGACAGTATAATAAGCAAATCATTCTAGTGGTTCAAATTAACATACAAAAATATTTCCAAAAATATACACCTCATATTCAAAAATAAAATTTATTTCGTTTTACAAATCTGTATTTTCATCACGTTTATAAAAAAAAAAAGAAATTTTGAACCGAACCAAGCACAATTTTTTAGAATTTGTGGAATATGCGATTCTATTTTAGCCGCAAATCACAACATGCAAATCGTGAGATCTTTTGTAATTTTATAACAATAGCTCATTTACTGACAGATAGTAAAGGCTTAAAGTTAACTGATCTGTATCAGAAATCAGTAGATTTAGTATATTAGCATCCGATTTAATACATTTTCGATATTCGACTACATATTTGTGAGTGGTACATGCTCATCGAATTTTGCTGAATTAATATGTAAGGTATACTGACTTTTACCCTTATCACCGGGAACATAATTGATTTAGTTTTTTATAATAGTAATATTAAATTTAAAAATTTTTGTGGGCAGAAATTGGAGACATCGTTCAGGTTTCAGACGGAATGCCAAACGGATATGCCGCAATCGCTCTTTCGTTTGACAAGTTTTCAATATTATTATCAACTGTTTTACTAATAGACAAATTCGAGCTGTGATTACAATTTTTTTAATGGTATCGTGAATAACGAACGAGTCCCTCCTCTTAACGGTTATGGTGAAAATATTCTTCAGATAAAACTAGAAATTGTCAGCAAAGACAATAGATCAGGGCATAAATAAATGTTATCTTTGGTTAAATTTAATTTGAAAATTTTCTTTTTATTAGAAACACACACAATTTTGTATATTCGTCATCATAAATAGGGCAATGGCATCGTCGGATTGAATCAAGTCAGATAATTAGTATAAGTATATATGAAAAGTACAATACAATAGCATTGATGAGCTATCCTCAACTACCTTGCATACAATTTTTGTAAGTAAATGATTTGATGAAAGCAATGACAAACAGAAACAATATCATTTATCATCCCATTTTCCTACTCCAAATATTAATTCATGTGCGAATGATTAATCGCTGCAGCTGCAAGTATCCCATGCATACGTACCTAAAAGAAGAAAGAAAAGAAAATCGTGAATTTTACTCATACATATATTTATAATACATACAATAATTAATGTTAAATGCGTCGGTAATGTCAATATATTAATTTATATTGCAAAAAAAATGTAAATAGTGATAACAAAATTAATAGATGTGCATATTAATCGGCTATTTTCATAATTGAAGGATTACTATAGAGTATAATAGTTTTGTTCAACTAACGGTTGTTTACCTAAAACAAATCGATTTAGATATAGGGTTATGTATTGTATATATTGTATAAATGATTCTGATGACGAGACGTCCTATCTGCCCGTTCAAGCTATAAATAAAGTAAAAATTTGGATATCTCGAGGAAATTTCGTACACATGTTCCTCGCCACAAAAGGATGGTTGGCATTATATATGCGTGTACGTACTATTTCCTCGCCCCCAAAAAACTCCACAATAACATACAAAGCTAATATTTAGTACAACGAATTACATTAGGGAGGGGCATCTACGGTTGAACATCTTTTTTTAAGTGGACGTGGCCCCACTTTCTAATAAATTTAATGTACATATCTCCTAAAAGCCATAATAATCAAATTCGCTCAGAGCAAATACTTTTGCTGCCTCACCATGTTAAAACGGGATAATTCGGATCATAAACCCGTCTACTCCCTAATTATATAACGGTTTTGTTAAAAACTACTAAAATTACGATAAATCTAAAACTGAATGCGTCAAAGGCATACAATTTTACACCCGAACCAAAACAAAAGGGCCCTACAGGAACCGGTGTCAAATGGATGGATGGATGGATGGAAATTGGACGATGGGTGTGGTACATTTAGGTGAAAACCTATTGCGAAATCGGAAAAGCCACGCCAACTTCCCATATAACACAATTTTAAATTCAATTTGATTCTTTTAGTTTTCAGCACAAAAATCTAGCAAGATGAAGCAATTTCCCTGCTCGAACTCAGCCCTTCCTTACTTGTTTTTTATTACTTATTAACAAACTGAGTACAGTAACCTTATTGGTCACTAACATCTCCATTATTGTTTGACCAAATATAATTAAAACAAGTAAGGAAGGGCTAAGTTCGGATGTAACCGAACATTATATACTCTCGCAAAGTCAAACGGTATACTCGTTTGAGATTTCTTTATATATTTTGCTTGATTTGCATAGTGGAAAGTAAAAGAATCAGATGGAATTTAAAATGGTGTTGAATAAGCGTGGAAAATAAGCGTGGCTGTAATCCGATTTCCTCATTTTTGCACTATAACATAGAAATATGAAAAGAATGTTATGTACCGAAGTTGGTTGAAATCGGTTAAGCAGAACCCAAGATATGGGTTTTCACCTAAAAGTGGGCAGTGCCACGCCCACTGTATAGTTTTGAATGTGGTTCCTATAAAGCCAACTCATACCATACCAGAGATAAAATTTAATGTCTCTGGCGTGTTTAGTGCTTGATTTATCGCGCTCTTAGTAGTTTTTAACAGTACCATTATATGGGAAGTGGGTGGAGTTGCAACCCGATTTCACCCATTTTCACAGTGTCGATAGAGGTTCTGAAAACATTTGTCCTCAGTGAATTTTGCTAATGGTGTTTTGTAAGCGTGGCAGCGCTCCGATTATACCCATCTGCAACACCAATCGTCTTACGGTACCAAGAAACATTTAACATATTCAAATTACAGCTTGCACTGACGGACGGTTGGACAGACAGTCCCCCGGATTTCAACTCGTCTCTTTATCTTGATAATTTATAGATATGTATATAACCCTATATTTAACTCGATTAGTTTTGGTATTACAAACAACCGTTAGGTGAACAATATTTATGGATTTATAAAACCTGAATGATCCGTAAACTGTTCCTCCTATTGAAAATATTTCTTTGTGCAACAAACATAACACTAGCACATTTTTTTGTACGAATATTTGATTTATTATTTTTTTATTTATACTTTTCAAAAAGTTTTGCAGCAATTTTAAGAAATATTTCCATCAGACACTTTTAAACCCTAAACAGAGTGTACCCAAAAGGAAATTACGGAGACCCTATAAAATGTACATATCTTTATATATTTTCTGTAAGTGTATTTGTAAATGAATTCTTTCTAAATGGCTATACCAATTCTAATGAAATTTTTTGTGTGTATTCAAGGTGGTTTGAGAATGGTTTAGATACCAATTTGATCAACTAGATAATCTTTTAACAATGAATATATTTATTTATAAATTTTTGCTAATGCTAGAACGTTTTACTTGTAATTCCGGCAGATTACGCTGCAGTCGTGTCAGATATTCAAAAATATATTTGAGTTTCAGCTGCGTCTGGTAGAAAATGCGCTAAGATCAGATTCTAAGATAGGATAAGTATGTTTAAACTATGGAGACTATAGACATGCCCTCTATATTCTATACGATACATGTCTGAATGAAGATTCATAACGGATAGTTCGGCAGAACACATTTGTTAATTCTGGTACATCAATTCCTTTCTTCCTACGGATATTACTTAAAACTATTTATTTTGAAATTTGATACTGTTTCGAACTTCATATTTTACATAATTCTTCATAAAATTATCCTAACCTATATAATTATCCTAACATATAAATTTTTTTTTGTAATTTATAGTTTTCAGAGATACGTTTTCAAAGTTATCTTTCATTTTGAATTATACTGTGCTGGAAATAGTGAATATACAAAACCAAGAAATAAATAAATCGGGTCCGCTAGTACTATATATAAATTATCAGCTGACGAGCTGAGTCAATTTAGTCATGTCCGTCTGTCTGTATATATGCGAACTAAACCCTCAGATTTTGAGAAATTGATCTGAAATTTTGCAAACGTCCTTTTCTTATAAAAAAAACTGCAACATAGAGGAGTCTTACCTTACTCTTAGTGGCATAACCCTGTGAGAGGACGATCCTTGTAGCGTTGGACTTGTCAAAAGTTTTTGACATGGTCTATCATACCTACAATGCTTCAAGAAGACAACGAACAATCTACGCTCCCTACAGGCCTCAAGGGGTGACCCATGAACTACCTGAGCGATCGACAATCATCTATACTGTTTCGAAGACAAAACCCTAAATTAAGAAGAATTAAACCGGAGATTCCGTAGGGTGATACCCTCTTCCCGCTACTGTTTAAGTACTATATCTAGAAACTACCTCAACCACCAGAGAAAATTTCCATCACCTCATACGCCGGTGATTGTACGATATTGACGTCAACCAATGGAATCGATGGCAAATGTTCGAAAGTAAACAGCTATCTCTCTGATCTTTCTCACTTTATCTCTGCAAGGAGCCTGACACTCTCCCTTACAAAATCCACAGCGACCATATTCATGAACTGGAGGAAGTAGTACAAACTGCGTCTAAATATCATAGTCGACCCTCCCTCCTCATACGACCGTGATTTCTAGGGCACAGAGATGCAATACCAATTTACCTTGATGAAAATAGGAAACCTGGGAATTCCTGCACAAAAATATTTTCATCTCCAAGCATACTTATGATGCATACATATATACATATGTATGTATATTACATATGTTTTACTTAAAAAGAATTTTGACATGAAAGGAAATTTGTCTTCAATGCTTTTGTTCTAAAATTATTTTGATTTATTTCCAAATGTGTGTTTTGCATGCTGGTATGAAAATAGAAGCCATTAATTGTTGCAAGAACGGGAACAGACATTTACTGTAAGTCCTCGATCAATAATTTTACCTTTATATTGTGAATCTAGTAAATTTAATCTGGTGATGGTACACATATTCAGTTCTCACTTTTCAGTGACATTATTTGAATCCTTTGTTGTCAATTTGAAGGCGTTTACGCTGACTGACAGCAAGTTCGTCGAAGTGAAAAAAGTGTCAAAGAAATTGAACTTATAAATGTTTCGGCCGAAGTAATAAGGGAAACTAACGGAAGTTAAAGTTTCATCAACGATATCTTTCTTCCTCGCTTCGGGCTTCGGGACAGTATCCAATCAATAAAACAAAGAATCATAAACAGGTTAGTGTGTGAGTCGACGTTATTAAACGAATGGGGAGCATTTGGGCGGCATCAATATTCAAAACATAACGAGTTTTAAAACTTTATGTTTCGCTGGCATTGGATCTATGTACCAGTGGGTGGCTCTGAGTTGGGCGGAATGCAATAACACGTGGCTGCCACAAAGTGGTTTGCACAATGCTTCAACTGTAGGCATAAAAAATGATTTGCTATCTTCTCATATTATATTTTGTTTCATTTTTCTGCTGTTGTTGTTTTCTTTATTTTTCTCTCTTTTTGTTGTTTTGTTTTTTCGCAGAATAATCGAGGTCAAAGGCTATGAGGGTGAGCAAGGGCATAGGCACCTTTCTCCATGCCCGAGACTGTCTGCTCCACTTTTTGTCTGGGGCCATCAATAATGATACTTTCCGTGTCGCTTTCATTTAGAGACGAACAAAAAGGAATCGAATTCGCCAACGAAATGAAAATTACGCTGATGAAAATGGGTGCACAACCGTACATATAAATAGTGTGCGAAATGTGTGGCAGCATTGTTTACCAAGTTTGCCTCCAACATCGGCAGCGGCCAGTGTGGTGGCGCATTTGTTTGATTTGCCTGATAAGACTGCAACTGCCGCTTGCGTTCACACAAGATTTTGCCTTCGTTCCTATCCTACCCTTCCACTTGTGCTACCAAATCTCGCATTCCAAATCAGAACATATCGCTCCTACGATGCTTACTTAGCTACTATGGCCCAGTCTGCCCGACACATCACCGCCCCATGTCGGGTTCTTCCACGCTCTGTGAAGTAAAGCCAAACTTTTGGATGTAATTAGTTGGAAATTGTCTTATGGCATTTGACTTTTGCTGCTGTGCCTCCACTCAACGCCTCTGCAGCGTCTTTGACATGCTCTTTCGTAAGTAATAATGTTTGTTGTTCTTTGTAGGATAGCGTTATTGCTATTGCTACATTTGTTCTAAAAAAAATCTGGAAAGTTGTTGTTACTATTTGGAAGGCATTATGTGTGTATTCTTTGCACAGTCAATTGATTATGCTTGCTCTTCGTCAAGGCGTATTTATGTACGAGTATGTATGGAGGGATGTTAGAAATATTTCAAATCAAAATCCAAATGGAGGCCATTGCGGAGACAGTATTATATAGTAGGTATGGCATAGCGACTGACTGGATAGGCTATCTCAACGGTAGATTCATTTCATCAAACCTTTAACAGTTTTCTGCAAAGTTATTTCAGCCAAAAATTATTTCACCATAAACGTATTTTCTCTTTATATCTATAGAGGGTCTGAACAAAACCTGGCGAATGAATATAAGTAAGTTTAACTAGATAGTTATATATTTATTTTTAAGTAGTATGAAGCTGGTTTACTTCAGAGCGAGCTCTGACAGTTGATAGCTCATATCAACCCGCATAAGTGTTGTAGGGATGAAAATATTTTGGATAATCTAAGAAATTACCCATTAGTTAGAACAATTTCACTTGTCAGCGCAATATCTGAATCTTCGTCCAAACAACCCTTTTATGAAAGCAATTTTTTCTCAGTGTAATCCTCCTCAAATGTTGGTTTGTAGGGAGATGATAGTATTTGCGTTAGTGTCATAATGAAGTGGCAAATTCAATTCAAACTCTCATCAATACCCCCCAAATACGAGTAAATGCGTCATTACACGCTTATCCCCAGAAGAATGTTGGGCTTTCATGCCAGCGATGGTATTATTACTTGTATTATAACGGCAGCAGCAATTAATGGTTCTGTCGCTTTCTAGTGGCACTTGTCCACAGTTGGATATAATATCCATTGCAAGATACCTCGAACTTATCCCCACATGGGCGCACAATTGACCAGAATTGTGGGTGTTGCTATGAATGTTGCCTTAAGGGTGTGTATGGAAATAACAAAATGTAATTGTTTGTTCATAATAATTATAGAAAGTCCATTAGTCGTCACAAAAATATTTTTCGTCACAGTTAATGAGGAACAACATTTGAGAAGCTTTCTTGAAACTTCTGAATTTATTTCAACAACATTTTGAAAGCAGGATGGCACTGTGAAATGGATGCAACGTAACTATACAAACTTTTCTGTGGTAAACTAAGAGTCAACTAGAATTTCCCAACTAAAATTAATCAGAAAAACATTGCACATAAGAATGCTTATAATTGACATCTGGAAGGACATCAATACACAACTTGCTAAGTAAAAGTAGGTAGTCGCCTGAAATCTACCAGTCTCATTACAGGGTTCAAACATTGCATATTTCTGTCACAAAGTGAAGCTTTTGATATTCTACCGAATACCGCCCAAGGATTAAAAGAAATTGGGTACAACTGATGAATTCCAGTCCAAGAATTCGTCAAGGTAACTTAAATGATCATATCCATATTAGATGGTATGAAAGTATTCTTATCTAATAAAAAGAGATATATAGTTGATTTTGAAGTGTTTAAAAGTCTTACAAGATCAGGAAGCCAGGTGAAACCCAGAGGTTGAACCTCAAGTATGGGCATAGCACTTTGAATCCATCATAAATCTCCATAAGCATTTTATTTAGTTTTCCTCTACTTCACCTTAGTAATTGAAAAGAAGAGATTCAATGTTTTTTAACCTTTATCTCGATAATAACGCGAGGAATTTCTTAATTCCTTAACTCACCTCGAGCGCCCGGTAGTTGCAATGGATAGTCACTACATCAATAGCTGCCACCTTATATTGCACACATACATATGTACATATTATAAAAAAAAACCTATTTTACTACTCACATACCTTAGCCATGTCATTCATATTGTACCAAATATACATGAAAATAAAAAGAGTTACATGCCTGGATGATGTTTATATGTGAGTAACAAAAAATGCTTAAACTGTTGTAAATTTAATTCTATCAATTTCAATGCCGGCGACAAACGGGAAATAAATGAGAAAATCCTTCATGCAGGGTTTTGCCAATATCAAAAAAAAAATTAACTTTCTCTTGATATTTTGTTTTCAATGGACAGAAAAAAGGAAAATGTTTTCAGCGTTTACGCTTTGTTTCCTCGTCAACAACAGCAACATGGTTATCGATTGCAACAATGGCAACAACAAAGAAATAACAAGTAAGATATCAAAAACAAGCCTAACAGATATACAAGCGACATGTGTACATATTACCTCGAATAATCGACAGAACATGCCGCATGTTAGCAGTGGCTTAATGCCGGAATAAAATAAAAACATTTTAATAAAAAAGTTATCACTTTTTCTAATGGTATGAAAAGTTAACATTCGATTTGATTTCATTTGAGAACACGGTTGCCTCTATGTTAGGAATTTTGAATACATAGCACGGCAAACACTCATCGGTCCGTTTAGAGTTTATGATATACAGCAACGATATTGGGGAGAACACTCAAATTCCAACACACAAGCGATATACGGAATGTAATTATAGTCAAATTTTAACAGAGTTTTATAATTCGTAGCGAAACTGAAAGTTTTGAAGGTCATAAACTGACTTAGTTTTATTACTATATTTTACTTCCCGTCCGCGAAAACTATACTAAAATCATTGGGGACCGAGAAGTGGAAGGGATGATTGTATTAATTTTTGGCATTGCTCAGGTATACTTCAGACCTAATTTTCAAGCAAGTTTATAAATATTATATATAAATATAAACATATTCATATACAAAGTAAAGTCTGCCGGATGTTTCAAAATCCTGAATATCAGTTATATGGGGGCTAAGGCAAGTTTTCGCCCGATTTTACCCATTTTAGGCACAAATATACACTGTTATTGGACAAATTGGTCGATGTATATATAAATGTAGGTATAAAGTCAACAGGAAGTTCCAACATTTTTTATATTAGATATATGGGGGCTAAGAGGAGTATTGACCCCAATCAACCCATTTTTGATCAAAGAAACATTTTCCCCGAATTTGAATAATATATCTCACATTGACTGATTGGCGTCTGGGTTCTTCAAAAGTTATAGTCCGATTTTGGCAATTTTTGGGCGTATGAAGAAATACCTTGAGAACACTCTTTGTGCAAAGGTTTATCCGGATAAATTGATTGAGTATTGATTTGTATACTGTAAAGTGAAAGACTCAGAAGGAATTTAAATTTGTGTTACAAGGGAAGTAGGCGTGGTTATTTTCCGATTCCGCCCATTTTCTCACCGTTAAAAAGAAATTTCAGGATAATGTTATAAACCGAATTCGGTTAATAATTGTCAAGTATCGTCCAATTTTGACAATTTTTAATGTCTCTGACGCATTCAGTTATTGATTTATCGCACTTTCAGTAGTTTTTAACATAGCCGTTGCCAGCGTTTCCCAAACGAGTCTGATGCTGAAGTAGCTTGATGCTATTTGTAGTGAGGACAGACACTCCTTGACTGGGACGTTCAAGCTCCTTAGTAAGTGTAAACTCTTCAAGCGCCCTTGACCAGACAAATACACCATTGTACAATATTGGTTTGACTACGGTTTCGTAAAGCCACAACACCCATCTTTTTCCTATGTCTCCTCTACAGCAATATGAAGGAACTGATGGATATGGATGGATTTATCAACCGATTGAAGATGTGAGCCTTCGAATGAGGTCAGAAGCAAATAAAATCATTTCAGTTTTACTTGGGTTGATGGGTATGCTACTTCTATTCGCCTAGTTAAATACCACGTTGAAGTACCCTTCGGTTAGCTCTTAGACGGTATTTAGAAATTATTTTTACCATAAGAACAATCGTCGTCAGCGTTTGCTGTCACCCGACAACCTCAATCTTGGAGGTTTAGTTATTGGCAATTTTAAGGATTCCGATTATTTGCGTTTTGTGGGCGTGGTAGGTCTCCGATTACGCCCATCTAAAATACTAAACATTTTATAATGCCAAGGAACAAGTGTTATCTTGATCATTTATAAAGGGTAATCCATTCTTCGACATTTATGTTTTGAAGATTATCGCTTTCAAATGTTGGCCGCGGCGGAGGTCCCCCTGGTCCCCCTGGTCC